TCTGCCTGTGGCAGGGGGTCAGGCTAGATGATCTGTTCAGGTCTCTCCTGACCCTAGCTACTATGAAACTATGAATCTGGGCCAAAGGCTACCAAAGTCAACGGAAAGTCTTCCTTAGCTTTGATGGGCTTTGGACAAGGCTCTGAAAGCACATTCTCTGCAGGTACAAACAAGCCTGTTTCTGATAAGAGAAACTCTCCCATATTTTAGCACTGTTATATAGCAAGCACCAAGTAATGGGAGCATTAATGTGTACAATGTTAAAACAGGATGAGGCAGAGGATATTCCTGTCCTGGCTGGGGAAGGCCTAAGGGTAGGAACAGATGCTGCATTTGTTCCTAGAAAAATTCTACCTGTGTTTGTCCTGGAACAGAAATATTCCAGGATTAGTGTGTACGCACACTGCCCCCCAACCACGGTTTAGCAAGCAGCTGAATGCACTGCCACTTTTCTGCTATTGATTCAACAATGAGATTCTAAGATAACAGTTCAGACGCACTTTAAGATGCCCTGGGATAAACTGTTAGTACTTCTTATCCTGTTAAACTTTTTAGGATTTATCCTGGGACAATGGACACGGATGTCTGAACAACTGCATTTTGACCCAGGATAAAATTGTTTATCCCAGGACAAATGCTATGTCTTTCTGTGACATAAAAAAATCTTCCCATTTGTAATCTGTGTGATTACTTTATCTTGATTAGGATGCCTTTTTGATTCCTTGTTTGCACAGTGTCTAGTGTAGTGGGGCCCTGGCCTATCCCTAAGGATTCCAGATATCATAGTAGTTCAATAAATAAGTGATAATAAATTACTGCAGGCACCATAATTAGCTTTTTTCTTCAAAGCCAGCTAACAATTGCTTTCCCCATTCCTTTTTCTACTTCTTTTGGAAGCAAGAATGAGGATGGATGGATTATCAACCTTGAATAGGAGGAGGAGGGCCACACTGCAGGATGCAGTTGCAAATCATTCCATCTAGGATGAATAACTACACAACAAATAATAAATAAGCTCCCACCTTGCATCTTGCTCGCTAGCAGAGCCAATCAGCATGCAAGAGCTAAGTTCACGTGCCCTTTCCACATCTTTATGCCAAAGAAACAAATGTTTCACAGAACACGGTATCAGCAATGTAACTTCTGCCTCCAGCCCAGTGTCTGCAGAGCCCTCCCCTTCATTACAGAAGCTGTGAACCCTCACTAACATTCACCTTTCTTTCATTCTGCTGTAGAGATAAGCACTGCTTTTGTTTCAGAGGGTTTTTTATTGTGCTCAAGTCCATGGCATTTTGAATCTAACTCTAGGCCAACTTTGGGTTGAACAATTGAGCCATCCAGTAACTCACAACTACCAGAGCAAATTCCAAAACCAAATATTTCATTTGGATAAAAACAAACAGTCTGTTGCTAAGCAAGCAGTGTACTTACCTAGCATAGCAGTGACAGAACCAACAGCCTGAAAGCAAGGACATGAATAATTAAGGGTACCATAAATCTTACACAGTTGGTCTGCAATAGAGATGTTGGGCTTCATTCCCCTCTCCTTGATGCCAGTTTTATGCCAGTGCCACTCCACTAGAGAGATGTCACTGTCAGGATGTTTTTCCTGATAGCCTGAGATGTCCTTTCCCCCAGTTTCATTCCCTAAGCCAATGGTGCTCAACCTCTGCCCCATGGGCCCAATATTGGGAAGCACCGTGGATCCATAAATTTGGTGGCAGGGGAGCAGGGACAGCATTAATTGCTGCAACTTCCAGAATAACAGCAACTAATGCTGCAACCATCGTCCCCCCTGCCAAATTTCCGGACCTTAGGAAGAGCCCTGCAGGTCAGATGACAGCCCTGCAGGGCTCCTCTACAGGCAGTTCAGATGCTCAGGGGTGGGCCAGCAAGCAGGTCATTGCACAGCCAGACCCAGTGTGAGGGACTTGGTCAGCATGCCAGATTGCATCTGCAGACTGAATCCATATGCTGACTCCACACTAGATCAGAACCAGAGACTGATCCTGCCCATGATATCCGGCCCATGGACTGACCCTGCACCACTTGTCTGGCTCACAATGCCAAAAGATGAAGCACCATTGTCCTAGGCCTTTTCTGAAGAGATATGAACACTCAGACACTTTGAACTCTAGCAGTCATGGAATATATGGCCACTTTTCCACATCATAGCTGCTAAAGGGATATTAACCTATAGGCTTCAGCTTCTAATCACTGGAGACCAAGAAGAAACTCTGTCTGAGCAGGTTAGCCTATCACTGCCCATGTGGTCATTTAGGCTAGGGCAAAGGCAGCCAAAATGGATGCTGGCCAAATCATGCCTCTATATGCCCTTGACCTAACTTTACTACACGAGCCCGATAAGCCAGCAGGCTTGAGCAGCTTTTTGACCACAGGGCCACAAACAGAGTCAAGTTCCTTAAAAAATCAGAGCATTCAGATATCTAACTACCAGACCAAAGGGTGAGGCCAGATAGATGTCTCAATGCCTCCATTTGCACCCACAATTTTCCTAGAGGCACCAAGTGGGGTGCTAGTTAAGCTCAGCTGGGTAAACCAGCTGCCTGTTGAAATCCAGGGAAGGCCAAATTTGTGGAGCTGGGTGGGGGAAGAGAGGGCCCTTTACCAGCCTTTACAGCACCTTGCTGCTTTGTATGCATCGCACTGCATAGGTCAGGTCCCTGAAGATGCTCCCTTCCATTTTGGCTTGCCCTTGTGAGCAGACAAAGACTCCACCCTTCCCATCCCTGAAAAGGCACCGCCGGATGAGGCATCCTTGCAGAGAGTTGGCAAGAGACTGGGCCTCCTTGTCTCTTTGCAGCTCCTGTTGCAGACTTTTGAGCTCAAAGTCATTCTGGAGGGCATTCAACCCATTGGTTTGTGGCCGGCTGTAGATAACTTTGGTCAGCATGTGACTCAGGCTATGGGCCTGATAGGACAGCTTGTACATCGATTGGTCGTCTCCCTCATTCTCACTGCCGGTGCTCAACTCGCTATCACTAGAGTCTGTGTCAAGGGTCACGGCTTCCCCCTCCTTGGCTGTATAAAGGTTCCCATTGAGCTCAGCCTCCTTCTCGCAAGTCTGCTCAAGCGCTGGTGGAGTCCTTAAGGCAGGAGGTAAGTTACTGTGGTCCCCACCTACCACAATCTCACAGGTCCTTATATTCCCCACTGGAGAGTCCCCCCAGTCTTCATGTTTTGACCTGCTGCAAGGTGAGGAATCTGGGGCCTGTAACAGAACAGAGCGGGACTTGGCCAGCATGGTCAGGTGCTTGCAGGCCCAGTTCCGATCAGAGGTTGGGGAGCCCTCCACAGTCACAGAGGCATTTTCACTGCCAATGAACTCACAGTTCTCAAGGACGCAGAGGGCCACACTGTGGAAATTGACGCTGCATTGATTGAAGGTGCAGAACTTCACCTGGCACGTGCCTGGCGCATGGATCTGTAACTGCCCATTCTCGAAGTTGCAGTTGTCAAACTGGACGTGGCCAGAGGTTGTCTGGAGAATAGTGATAACAACACAGAGTAAATACTCAGAGCAATCACCATTTTTGGAGAGACTTGCGGTTTCCTTTACTCTTTCCACAGAAATGTTCTACCTCTTTACATGTAGTAGATCATGGATTACAGATTACAAAGCCCACAAAAGTTTACCCCAGTTGGCTTCTACCCTCAGCCTAGAAATCAGTTAGCTTTGTACTTCTAACTAACATGGCATGCTCCATCTGTCACAGTCACCAGATTCCCTAGGTGACGTGCTGCAATCACTGGACCTAAGCAACACCTGTGCTGCTCTTCTGAGCCCTTTCAAAACTACAGATGTGCACATTAGTTATCTACCTGTCTGCAAATATAAGGTAATGAGTTGTACACGAGGCAGGTCGGTAAAGCTTAATGGCCTGTAATATTCAGAAGATCAGAGTAGAATGATCTAATGGTCCTTCTGGTCTTTAAGAATATCCCAGGGGCATCTGCTGTACATGCTCACAGGTGCAACACATGCCATCCACCCATGCAGTAGGTCCCAAACATTTTGCAAGAGCATCAGATGTTGCTCTCTCCCTATCTGCTTCAGCACTGCAGGGGAACCCTCAGACTTACAAATGTAATTCCTGTTTTATTCCCCTTACAGCAAGTGCCTTGTGAATGCAGTGTTGGGTCACTGATGTCTGTAACATAGTCATATAATTACTGGACAGGAGGGGATCTCAGTAACCTATGCAGGATCTTCCCTGTTTGAACTGTCCCACACAGGAGCTTGTCCAACCTGCACATAAAAACTTCTAGGAACAAAGACTCCTTGGCCTCTCTAAGGTGATCTGTTCCAGTGCTGACCCCCTTCACAGTTAAGAAGTTCCTTTGAATATCCAACCTAAATTTCCTTTTCTGTAATTTCAGCACACAGATATGTAGAACACTCGATCACTAGTCTCTAACAGCTGCTTTTGTAGCTGAAGACTTATCAAACCCCACCCTGCCCGTTTTCTCTACACAAAATTATCCCAGTTTTTCCCACCCTGCAGCTGTTCTTTCCACTGCTTAAGAGAGATTTTAACAGTAGCCCACACAGACCATGTTTTATTTGGAGCCTCAGCACCACAGATGTCACTAGCAGAAGAGTTTTTCTCTACCACAAGAGGCATGACAAAGCTCTCTGCTTGTCCCCAGAATAGCTACAAGACCAGCGCAAGTTTCTCTGTCCTGCCCTGTCAATGAAGTGAACCAGAACCCAGAGGGGCCTGTTAAGAAAAGCTTAACAGTTTGCCTGGAATCTTGCCCGATACCTAATTTGACAGGAAATCTTCTCAGTCGTCATTTTGTTTCTCTTCCTTGATTATCCCTCGATTCCCAGAGGTATGCTCCTAACAGACAGTGCTTAAAGGAGGCAAATCAGGGCCTGGGGACAGATGCTCTGAAGTCATGGGAATTGTTTTGCATCAATTGCCACGATTTACAGCAACACATTTATTTTAATGCTTCCACATTCTGAGGCACAGGAACCACACGCATTGGAAGCGTGTGCTTTCTGACATGCGTGAGAGGGCCAAGATCAACAAACAGAGGATTCATCTACACCATGAGAGTGGCAGGTCCTGGCATGGCCCAGACTGCATCCTGTCACTTACATGCCCCAAACCCAGAGAAGCACACATGAACCACTTTGGCAGCATCCCCAGCAGCCTCTCCCAAGCATGCCAGAAACGGACATGACACCAGCAGTGATGGAGAGATGCCCCCAAAGGTCTTCACTGGTTCAGCACTGGGTTCAGAGAATGCATGTGGGAGTGGGTAGGCCAAGTGTGCTCAGAAATGGCTTGACTGGGACACACCTTCATGGCGTAGACAAGCCCCAAGGGCACTAAAGTATTTGAGCATGGGATGGCTGAACCAAGCCCTGCATGCTTATTGCTTCTTCCTTTCCTTTATGGAAAAAATTATACGAGACCCCATCAAGTCCATTTCCGACAAAGAAAGTCGTTCAGCAAAAGATCTTGTAAGACTTAAAATCAAATATATACTGCGAGGATGCTTTCACATCAGTCAGCAGCAATTTTGTTTGGAAGGAAACTTCATTCACTGCCTGCCACCCAAATGCTGTAGCATCCTGCTTCTGGGTAAGAGCCAGAAAGTAAAATTAACCATCAACTCAAGTGAAATGGATCTGTCTCCACTGGCCATGCTGAGAGAAAGATCAAAAGGCACTGGCCATCATGAAGCAGTGATGAGAAAGTGAAACCTCCCTTTGCTTGTTTTTAAACAAAAGCTAGTCAGGAAGCTTTTCTTTCTTTCTTTTAATTACTATTTTTCACTCCACTGGTTTTCCTGTTAAAATATACATGGTAGTTTCCTTCTTAGAACTTTACAGTTAAGCTATAAAAGTAACTAATTTGAAAAAATAACTACATCCCATAACTCCTGGAAGGGACGTTTCCATTTCATCGGTAGTTAAACCGAGTCTCAAATGGCTGTGGGTCAGATTCTCATAGATTTTCCTATAAGAAGCAGTTCCTTACTCTCTTCATGTAGCTCCATTAGGTTCATAGAGGAAATTAATATTCAACCTATGCACGGGTTTGGGGATCAGGCCCACAGCAACTCATGCAAAGTCAAACAGTAAGTCAGGTCAGAGCCAAAAAGGAAACCTGAGTGTTCTGACTCCTCGGGTTCCTTCCCGAAGTCCAGACAGCAGTGTGCTAACAGGGCCTACATTACACCACATGCCCCCACTCCCCTGCCCAGGAGGGCTGGCATTTGAGTCCCTCAAAATACATTTGGACTCACCTTGTAGACCACTGGGGTGAACCAGGCAGGCATAAACACTACATTACACAGGCGAGTGGTTTGACAGTGCTGGTCGACGCTGACTAGCAGGGCAACATCCCCCAGCTTCCCCTGCCCCACGATTTCCACTGGCACCTTCAGGACAATTTCACTTTGCTCTTCATACACCCCAGGCAGCAGCACAATCCGGTCATAGGGGTTGGCAGCGGCCAAGGCAACCCGGAGGCTCTCAAACTCATACCCAGGCCCTACACAGAGGACACGGCGATCCTTCTTCCGTCGGAACAAGTAGAAACAGTTGGAAGATTCAAGGTCTTGGGTGTTCTTGGACCAGGTTTTTGAGGCTAGGTAGTGCTGTTTGAAGGCTTCTCTCCAAGACTGGGGCTCCACGTCAGGCTGGTTGGGCCAGTTTGGGTGCCTGCACTCAATGCAGCCCAGACACAGCTGTCGCCATCGTGTGTTGTCTAAGCTAAGAATGAGTTCATACCATGCCCTGCACACCATGCTGCAGCGGCCCAGGTCAGGAAGATGCAGATAGGACAAAATCAGACGCCATAGCTCCACTGGGAGACCACTGATGTCCATTGTCACCTAGTGATGGTGGGACACAAAGAGGGGGGTTAAACAGGCAGGCATCATTGTCAAGCTTGTGATGGTTCTGCAGGGTCTGTGTCCAACTCCCTTTCTGCCAAGCTAGATGGAAATGGCACGTTCTGTTCTTATTTGCTCTGCCCCCATCCCACAGGCTGACGGTGTTGACTCTGCAATTCTCCCAGGCCATGCTGCCTCCCCACCCCCCCAAAAAAAACCCCAAGCAAAAAAAACCCTCTTTTTTCTGGAAACTGAACCCTGCTTGCCTGGCTTGTGGAACAGAGCAGAAACTCTGAGGGAGAGCTGAAGTTTCAAAATCCCTTGCAACTTGCACAAAGGTACATTGCTGTCTCTTGCAAGCCCCTTCAGAACTGCCTTTTTTGCTACATCCCCCAGTCCTGGGTGGCACTAACACAGCTGGTGTCCAGCACAGTACAGCACATTGGGGTGGGGTGACCCCCTATGCCTAATTATACCAGTGTAAAATGAGAAAGCAATATAACCAGTTTGGAATGGTGAACTTTTACACCCTCTCTGAACTGCTGTGAATGACCATAATACTGTATTTACCCAAATCTAAAACCCCTTTAAATTTAAGATGATCTCCCAATAATTAGACTCTAGACATGGAAAATTGTATGTCTGTTATGATTTTCCATTACTAGAACTAATTTTTGAAGGCTTGTCTTAAATCTCTTCCCCCACCACTGTGGTAGGCAATGTAGAGAAAAGCAGCAGCAGGTGGCAAGAGACCAGAACCCTGCTCATTGCCCTCCTTCCCTGTTTCCCCCTTTTGCCTCCCCCATGCTTGTGCCTGCCCCCTACCACTTATCCCTCCATGCCACTTGAACCCTCCACTTGCCCTCTGCCCTTGTGCTTGAGCCTGCCTCCCAGCTGCCTGTCCCAACACCCCCCATCCTCCCACTGCCTACCTTCTGGCAGCTCTGGCTCTAGCTCTCGCTCTGGGGCAATCAGTGGTGGCAGCCCAGGCTCTGGCCCCAGAGAAGCAGTGGGGGCTAGGGTGGCCATCACAGAGGACAGTCCTGTTGTCCTCTGTCCTTTATTGATATAAACCTAGATGCCTTTATGTCCTCTATTTTTTTCTTGAATAAAAAAGTACAGGCACCTCTTTTTACCCTGCTACCTTGGGACACCTGTGGGTTCCAAAGGCAGAGAACAAGTCTTTATCTCTGTAGTGCAGAGACTTTGCAGGGTGATTAAAGACTTTGTTATTTAACCATGCGCTTGAAGGCTCTTGAGATTTTGTATAATGTAAGCAACACCTGTGACATGCAGGCAGGTCTAAAAACCTTGGTATAAACAGCTCTGATTTTCAGCCTGGGAGCCTTTAACACTCATTAGATTCTTCAGATGCATCTTGGCACCTACTCCCTAGGTAAAAAGTATCCCTTTTCATTCCAGTACTGTGACATGGGGAAAAAACAGAAAAGGAAATATACTAACATATAATTTCCCACTAACATAATAATTTCCCATGCTGTAGAATAAATCAAACAAGAGGAGAAAGAGCACTCAACTTCATATCCAGAGAAAGAGAAGCAGTTTGGTATCACCAATGACAAAGTATATCTGCCTTCAGAAAGTCACAGCAGAAAACTGCGAAAGGAGAAATAAAGACCAGGGCTTCCCAGGGGTGTATTCACCAGGAGAGAGCAAATTAGTTATGTTTAACCTGAGCTTCTACTCTGGAAAGCAATGATGCAAAATAGCACCTTGTTACCAAGAACCAGTTCTGAAGCCAGGTCTGCTTATTTGAGTGATGAAATTAAGCTTTTGATAACTTCCGAGTCTCACAGGAAGCAGTGAAGTTGAGGGACTGAGATGCTCTCCATTCTCTCTTGTGCATTGACAACCAACTTGTTCACTCTGAGCCAGATTCTATTCCACCTATTAGATCTCTAAGTGGACTTAGGTGCCTAAGTGCAATCTTATTCTACCCTAATTGAGTCCCTGAGAAATTGTCAATACAAAAGATGGGTGGGCCCCCTTCCTCCTTGCTGCTTTTTGTGCCTTACTGTTAAGGTTATGGTTATGGTGTATTACAGAAGTAGGTGCATTAATGCCTTTTCTTAGACATCTAATAAGCTCTGGTTGCAAGTACCAATCAGTGTCTGGGTGCAAACACACTGGCAGTGAGAAAGCTGCAGAAATATCATTAAAAGCAAGACAACATAAGTGGTTTGTGTATGATGGTGGTAAAGTTTGGTTGTTAACAAAGGCGTTTATTACTGGCAGGCATAAGACAAAACGGACATAACCTGAAGAACACAAGATAAGGTTGCAAGGCCAACAGGCAGAAACACCTTTGTATACAAAACTATTGAGGGAAAAGACATGTGCAGCTTCACAGTGCTTGGTTGCTTGCTTTCCTAAGTTCCTTCCTTCAGAACACAGCCACATCGCACTGCAGGACTGCCCACTTACATGAACTGGCTAAAGCAGGGAAACTGTATTAAATGAAGGTGGGGGGGCAGGGCTTGAAGACAAAAGACTGAAGCTCCTTTTCTGGTCACCCAACCAGTCCCTATGCAGGAACACCTATAGGGGGCTTTTGAATATGGAGAAATGTTACATCTGGGGACCCCTCTGTAAAGGCTGTCAATGCAGCTGCACAGTTACATGCCCAGCTAGCATTCCCATGGAAGAGAGGCAACTCCTACTGAGTATACACAAGAGAAACAGGGCTGAAGGTGGCTGACCAAGTCCCAAGCGTCTGTCTTTATTTCTCTTATTTGGGGCAAAGGAAGGGGAGACTCTCTGGAGGCTCAGTGTATCCAGCTCAGATTTTGTTTTCTGGGCATGGTGGTTCCTCTCAACCATGCCTCACAGTTGGAAACCAAGCCATTATTCCATTGTTTTGGATTCTATGATCCGAGGAAGGACAACCTGAAGAGCTCTGCCTCTGGGCTGAAACAGACTCTAATTAACAACATAATCCTATAAAACAGACATTTCTAAATGTTATGATCCATTCTTAATCAGACCAAGGAATAAGGGATCAGCCAGTAGGAACTCTGAGGAACATGTCTTGGGGTACATTCTTGTTCAAGCTATAACTGAAATTTCTCTATCCAGGTAGAGGCAGCCATATGACACTCACTCAAACCATAGAAACCCACTTTTATTTTTACCCAGGGTGGGGGGGGGGGGGGGCTTCCTTTCTCTCCCCCCACCCCATATGGCATGGCTGGAGCAGAGCCAAGTGGAGCACATGAGGGCTCAAGGGCAGAGGTAGGCTGCCCACTGCAGGCTCAGGGCTCCCTCCCCTGAAAGCCCCATGCCGGTTGTACCACCATGGCAAGGCACCCCCTGCCCAGCCAGCAGCAGTGGGAGGCACAACTCTGCACACTCCCTGCTGCTGCTGGGTGGGCAGGGGGCACCTTGCCATGGTGGCACAGCCATCACAGGGCTCCCAGGGGCAGTGCAGCAGGGCAGGGAGCCCCAAGCCTGCAGCAGGCA